CCAATAATGGCATCTGGCTTGATACCCCAGTGTGTTAGGAGACAGTTAATTGCAATCTGAATGGCCAAAAGAAGTGGCTGGACCTCATCTGCTTCAGAGAAATTACCATCACTATCCAACATCTCAAAGATACTTGCTTGGCTGTACTTTTGGAGGATGCCGTCCATTTCCTTAATTTTATCCCTGAAAACAGGCTCTTCCCTCAACAGTTGTTTACACATGCCTTTGTAGGTGACCCCATTTCCACAAAACACAAACACTACCTTAGGATCCGCCTTTGATGGCACAATTTTTTTTTTGAGCGAAGACGTCAGTTGTTCTTCTAAATGGCTAAGAGAAGATGCCAGGAAAGCTTTCCTATATTTGTGTTTTGCGTGAGTCCTTCTACATGTTGATGTATATGCTAAATCTGGGAGGTGATCAGTGTCATCAGAGCTTATCCATTGAGCTGTGCTCGCCATCATCAAAGTGAGTGACTTTTCACTGCTTCCAGAAAGAGTGACAATTACAGGCAAATGCTTTGATTGGCTACTACAAACAGTCTTGTGCTCCCTCACAACTGCGTGGGCATTTGTGCCCCCAAACCCGAAGCAGTTCACACCTGCAGCCCTTCCAAATGGACCACTCACTTCCCACTTCTCTGCTGACACTGGAACTTTCACACATAATGCCTGGGCATCAATACTTGCACTGTCCTCAGAGTAGAACACTGAAGGAACTATGACTTCATGGTGCATCATGAGAAGTACCTTGATAAGTCCTGCCATTCCAGCTGCAGACTCTGTGTGCCCAATGTTACCTTTCACAGAGCCCATACAAAGTGGTGCTGATCCTGCAGATCTGCCTTTGGCAATGACTGTAGAGATGCTTTCTGCTTCAGTGGAATCTCCAACCAGGGTTCCTGTCCCGTGAGCCTCTACATACTGGATATGAGATGGATCAATGTCCGTATAAACCATCTGCAGCAGCTCCTTCTGCTGGACCACAGATGGCTTGGTTATTGGAGTGACAGAATGGCCGTCCTGGTTCACAGCGCTTGTGGTTATGACACCCCACACATGGTCAAGGTCACTTAGAGCCTGTTATTAAAAAACAAAAAGATAATGAGGATTGATAATGAGTGCCGTTTGCCACAGTACAGTACTATGTCATAGTCTGCATTTCGCTGCTTGGGTTTTGGTTCATATCTTTCTGGATGTAACAAAACATCTTGTGTAGAATGGTAGTTCACCTTTTTGAGTGGCTTCAGTAGGACAATCCCACAACCTTCCCCTCTCCCATAACCATTTGCATGCTGGGAAAATGGCTTGCTAGTTCCATCCGGAGAGATCATCTTTGCTTTACTCAAAGCAACAAAGGTCCATGGCTCCATTATGCTGCTAACGCCACCACAGAGAGCCATCTCACAGTCCCCTGATGTAAGGAAAAATGAAAGACATGCTGTGTCACCTTATACCCAAAAACTACGAAACATCACCTGCTATATCTACATGAGTATTGTGTGGAAAAACAAGATATTTGCAAGCAAAAGAGTTGCAAATGTTCTACTTTAACTATGCCAACAATCATAGAAATGGCATAAGAGCCTTTATTACATTACATGAAATACAGTGAAATTAATTTTACATAAATAAATCATATACTGTAAAACTGAATGTCCCTTAAGTTTTTATATGGAGGCATTTTAAATTTCAATTCAGTGAACATTTCTCAATACCACACACAACCTCTCCCTTGTAATTTAACTGAATCAAGGGTAAACTGCATTGCACTTTATTATGCATGAAATAAGGCATTACCGTTTTTTATAGCCTGGATGGCAAGGTGCAGGGCAACAAGCGAGGAGGAGCAGGCAGTGTCAATGGCCAGGGAGGGTCCAGTCAAGTCGAACGTGTAGGATATGCGGTTTGCAGCGATGCTCATTGCTGTTCCTGTACTGTTGCGATGGTTTATTACACTTGGACTGATGGCTGCCATTGATTGCTCATAATCCCGGTTCATGAGACCTTCCGACATCAAGTCAAAACATCAAGAGTGGAACAAAAGTACAGATGTGAGAATTTAAGTGATAAAGCACAATGCTGATCAGGTTTTGTGTACAATATTAATGTTACCTATGAACACGCCTGTGCTGGTCCCACTGACTTTCTCCACTGGAATCCCAGCATCCTCTAGGGCTCTGTAGGAACATTCTAAAAGGAGCTTCTGCTGAGGATCCATCAGCCCAGCTTCGTCATCATCGATGCTGAAGAACTTGTGATCAAATTCATTGAACCTGTAGCAGCATCAGAAATGCTACACTGTTAGCTGTTTGTTTCAGGTGCTCATGTCCTCACAAACCAATCTAGGGTTAAGATCATATGATACATTAGTTTAAAGGATCAAGTTGGCAATCAGCCAGGATATAGTGGCAATATCAATGCCAGGAAATACAATCAATCAAGAATCAGCTCCTGTGGTAATATTTAACATACATATTAGTCATCTACAGGATGCCATTGATGCTCTAATGTAGGGGTCTCCAACTCCGGTCCTGGAGAGCTACTATCCAGTAGGTTTTCTATCCTACTTGGCTTCTGATGAGCCACACCTGCTCCTGTTATTTACCTGAGAACAGGTGTGGCTCATCAGAAGCCAGGTAGGATTGAAAACCGACTGGATAGTAGCTCTAATGATAGTCTAATTCTAACTAGTAACTTTTATAGGTACACTTCATCTCTGCATATGTTCAGTGTTTTGTGTAAATACTGCATTTGTACTGCAGTGTCAGTAAAAATCGGTGAGGAGATCAGAGTCCAGGATTGCACTTTCAGGAGCTCTGCAAGCCCCAGCCTGCATCTTATGTCACAGTTGTAATCTTTCTGATCAAATCCTTTGGGTGCATCAATGCAAATCATATTACACTGCAAATGGTAAATTAAAAAGTTAAATGTAAAACATTCAACTTTGTTTTTTGTTAACATGAAGTGCATCGCTAATAATTTTATAGGCCCAATGCCTCTATCAAGAATTTTTGTGTTTCAGTTTTCTGTAACACAAATACTTTGCCATCTTACCCATCGATCAGGGAGGCTCGTTCCGTACGAGATTTACCCGGCTTGCTATCGTCAGGATCATACCAATGGGTGCAGTCAAACCTCTCTCCTGGAACCTGGACAGCACAGTTCCTTCCTGCCTGAAGAACCTTCCAGAAGTTGTCAAGTCCCTCTCCTTAAAAGAACAAAATGTTATCAACTACAAACAAGGTTTGTTATTACAAGTAAGGTTTTATGCGACTGTGGGTGATGTACATATTCATGCTATACAGAAAATAAGCTTGACAAATTGTGCTTTATTGTAATCAAATCTCATTTATCCTCTATCGTTTACATGTTTGGTATGTGTTCAAGTAGCCACTTTTAATACTGTATACAGTATCTGTGCTTTGATTTACTGCAATTCCATGGACTCTAGACACTATGGGAGGTCTGAACAGATATGAATCAAGTTGGGCCAAGGAGTCAAGCTGAAACAGTCAGGAATGTAGGAGATGGGTGTGGAGAGACTCTGAAGGGTCATCTACACATTACATGACCATCTTGCCTAGAGAAGTGGTTGACAGTCTCCAGTGGTAGTGCTCAAACCAAAAAACTGTCCTATTCAAATTTGTCGTAATGCTGGATCATCCTCTCCCCCATACTGCAACATAGCAGAGCACATTGGACTTCTCACCCGAACGGCATAAGTTTAAAGACTATCTAGGTTCAAATATTGGAAACATGCCCATTATATACAGACACCATAGTGATGGTCTGCATCATAAAATGTGTTACAAGGCCAAGGACCTAAAACCAGCTATATATCGGCGCACCCATCAGAACCATATAATGTTGGACATATAAGACAACAATTCTCCCATCGTTTCTACTGGTGATGACTGCAAAGACAAGCTGGAGAAATTTCCTTTTAATACTGGAACGTGTTGTTGGGGAAGCTGGTGACTACATACTGTTTGCCATATAAGGTTTATAATTAGGTGACGTAGCTTTTACGTAATAGGATTAAACAGTCAATTGATTGAGTACTAGAATGTGTTCTTACCGCCTGGAAAATTGCAGCCGATGCCGACAACGGCGATCTCTTCCCCTGTGACACCCATGCTGGCAGCTCAATAATCCATACAGATCCTGGTGAGAGAGAGGTGGGGGGTATAAAAATACCTTAGGAAAAGCATGACATCATTGGTTTCATTCACTAGGGGCTATAGCCAGGAGTATTTTAAGCCTAGCTGTCACGGCATGGCAGGGTGGAGACGGGAAAAAGGCGATGATCAATTTATGTCTCCAAGAAACATGGGATTTATTAAAAACAATGTTAAGAGAAATTGTGTAAATGAAGCATGCTGGTTCAGCATATTGACTTTGATTAAAAAAAGAAGTGTTTGATCTATTAACTGTCAGGGTCAGCCCCTGTTGTCCCACTCTGTGTCCCTTCCCCGTTTGGCCAGCAGGTGTCGCTGGTCATCCCATCCTTCGTGTTAAGTCTTTGTTCTCCCCTGTGACCTGTCTGGCCACATGGCTCCATGTGTTGAGCTTGTGGTTGCCTGTGATCCTTGTCCTGTTTTTGAATCCTGCCTCCTCTGTTTTTGTATTTTGCTCCCTAGTGTTTCATTTGAGTTTTTCTAGTTCTTGTATCTGGTGATTTTGTATTTGGTTTTTGGCTAATTTTTTGCTTAGCTGGACAACGTGTCGGATATAAAGGTACCTCAGTTTATCTTCGTTCACTTACAATTAGCCCAAACTACCTTAAATACGACTAATCATGAAATCCAATTCTAGCCTGGTTAGATAACACATTACGCGCGGTACTTTATGTATAAAACTCCGTAGCAATACGTCCACAGTTAATTTGGACCGTATAGTATACGCGACCGATTTAATGAGCCACAAATAAGATGTAGTGCTTAAACAGTATAAAACTACAACTTTCACTTCTGTTGAAAGGGGCGCAGCCATCTTTGATTCTGAACTACCGAAAACTTAACTTCCGTTACTACGCATGCGCACACTTACGACTTCTGGGAGGAGGCGTGCTATTCTTACAGCGTCGCGTCGCATTTCATCGTTTGTTGATTTTTGATGAGAACGTCGACAGCGGGAGGAAAGAAGATTTAACCGGATAATGGAGGCCACATTAAAAGATGTTATTTCGCACAGGGCATTACTGCCCAATGTGCCTCAGAGAGAGCGACGTAAAATATGCCGTATAGCCGTCAATTTTACAGTCAAAGATGACATTAATGTTTTTCTCTATGTGCTAAATGAAATTACCATTATGTATTACACCCAGTTCAATGTGCTGTGAAGTTACCTAAACTAAGCCTGCTTTTTCTCTCCTTAGTCATTTCTTTTCTTAATTGTATCAGTGTAATTACCACACACCCGTGTCAGTTATGGCAGCTGTGTCTTGTGGTGCTAAAATTTAAATGAAGCAAATTATTTGTTTGACAGACGACCGATTGTTTTATCTTGGGCCAAACCGCACATCCATTACATAGGCCTAATTGTAAATATATCGTTTGTGAGTAGCCGGAAATGTTATCATGCCAAGGGGGGTTGGGCGGCCAGTTGACCTTGGACCCCAGAGGATTGTTTCTCCTTGCTGAGGAGTTTTTGGTTCCTGTCCTCTGTTGTCTTCTGGCCTTTTGTTTCTGGTTTTGTAATTTTAGATAAATTTGCATTGTGTTACATGTTTTATGTTGTGCAAATAAAAGTTCTTCACTGTTATTTTGGTGTGATTTTTTAGAAAATGCTGTACATATATCACAACCATTTGATAAGCAAAGTAAGATATAAAATTACCTAAAGTATAATATAAAAGTATAATGCCCATCAGAGCATGTGAGCGGAGCGTGAGCGAGGAGGAGCGAGGAGGAGCGAGGAGCGGAGCGGGCGGAATTTGGTCAGAGCGCGGAGCGGGTTTTCTAATTAAGGCTGGAGCGGTCGCTTTGTCTCGCTCCAATTTCGCTCCGATACCGCTCACACTACTA